GAGATGGAGTTGGGCATTGAATTCTGGAAAGTGCCATGCAGGGGTGACCAGGAGGCCTTGTGCACTGTGCACTCCTGAGAGCCATGCATGGAGGCTCCCGAGGCTGCTATATTCCAGGACAGAGCTGCCTGCCACTGAGTCCCTCCTACATACCCCCATCCCTCCCAGGGCTTTAGCACATTGGCATGGCGACTTCTGACTCCCAGCAGAATCCATTCCCACCTGCTTGACAGACTAGGTTCCACTGGACAGCTCTCTGGACTCCTCCTACATTTGAGACCCTGTCACAATCCAGACTCACTTAGCTTGTCCCAGAGCTCCACACAGGAATGCTCACAGCCTACATGTAGAATAGTCACGTTGGGGCAAGAGTTTCCTAAAATCATACCCAAGAAGCCCATACCAGGTCACCCAAAGCCAGCATTTCCTTACTCCCACAAGGACAGCGTTTAGTCCCTGGATGCCTCTTCATTTCTTCTTAACTGCCCCCATTACTCCCTCACCACATTCTCATTTCTTATGAAATCTCCCTGTGTGCTCACAGGGCTTTGATGTCTCAATGACATCTCCGAAAAGCTGTTCTGCTTTGGGGTTTTGGCCTTCCTTTTTTTCCCCTTTGTGGTCGAGGTGGTAGGTCTTTTTCCCTGAAGCCCCTAAGGTAGCTCAGCTTTAAGAAGGAGTCAGCCTCCCTTCCAGTGAACCCCACCATCCCTGACAAGCACCAGATCACTAACACATATCACTGATCTGAACCTCAGAGCAGTTCTTCAAATACAAGGACAGAAGAAAGCTGTTATCCTGTTGGTGGAACAGGAAAAGGAGAGGAGGGGGAGAAAGGAGAAAAGGAAGGAGAAAGGAAAGGCAGGTACTAGACTTGTTCTCATTTGAAAAACTAAAAGATTTTCATTGAGAAAATATTTGAGTATTGAGTAAAGGAAATAAACTCCACCTACCATAAAGAAGGTATGTCTAAGAATGAATAAGACAGCTTTCACTTTTGATAACTCAAAAACAGACAACAGAATGCCATGCAATATGGAATTAAAAATCGAGGGTCGAGGGAACTGGGGAGCTAGAAAAATGTTTGTTGGTGCTGGAGAGATGACTCAGAGGTTAAGAGCACTGGCTATTCTTGCATAAGACCCAGGTTTGAATCCCAGCACCCACATGGTGGCTAACAACCCTCTATAACTTCAGAGGATCTGATGCCCTCTTACACACATGCAGGCATAACACTCATACACATAAAAGGAAGGAAGGGAGGGAGGGAGGGAAAAGGGGAGGGAGGGAGGAGAAAAAAATTGTCTTACAAGCATGAAGACCTGAGTTCAATCCCCACCGTCTGCATTGTTTAAAAAAAGGATATGGTAGTGAATGCTTATAATTCCAGTACTTGGAAGGTTGAGACAGGTAGATCTCTAGGCTCACTGATCTATCTGCCTAGCCTAATTGCTGAGCCCTATGTCCCAGGCCCCTGTCTCAAAAAACAAGGTAGTTATCTCTTGAGGTCACCCAAGCTTGACCTCTGGTCTCCACATTTACAAGTATGCACACCCACACGTATAGATACACACCACCAAAAAAACAACAACAGAAAATTCAGGTCCAAATATAAGCTGGGCTTGGTGGCTCATGCCTGTAATCCCAGCACTCAGGAGGTTAAGGCAGGAGGATTGCCATGATTTGGAGGCCAAACTAGGCTATATAATGAGGTTGGAGGGCAACCTGTGATACATAGCAAGGCTCTATCTCAAAATTGTGTGTGTGTGTGTGTGTGTGTGTGTGTATTTGTGGGTGTAGGTGTTTATAAATTTTCTAGATTCTTTGGCTAGACAGCTAGGACGAGGAAGGAGATTTTAGATAATAAGAAAGGACAAGTCCAAGTTTAGAGGCTTGCGCCTGTTTGGGCTGGTGTTTGCTTGCAGGTTTTGTACTATCCCAAGTGTCAAATGCTAGAGAGATGACACTGACGCCTGAGGCCTGTAAAATCACAGACCATACCCTGGAAACATTCACACAGAAGCCAGAATTTCCAAGCAACTTACATCTCAGAGAACTGAACTCTGTCCTCCTGGGGTGCCTGCCCTAAAGAGAGGAAGGGAAAGATTTTCCTCTTACCCTCAAGTCAATTGAAAAGTGAAAAATGGTATGTATGTGTGTGTATTGGATAATGAGTCCAAATTTGTTGTCATATGAATTTGGGTCAGAATTTATATCATCTTTGTTGCCTTCCTCCTTAACAGTAGATTTAAGCCATTGGGCTCCCAGTAGAACATATTAAGGTGATGAAAGTACTCCATCACTAGAAAGTCTCAACATAACAACTGTCGATTTACGAAAACTCAGTACACTCAAACATGAACGAATTGTGTGGTTTATGAATTATACCTCAATAAAGCTATTACAAAAAATACCACCTACCACTCTTCTCATCGAAAACTTCTCCTGTATGCTGGTCAAGCATCTGTCACTGAGCTACAGCCAGAAGCAGCCAGAGGCTTCTCTCAAAGCTCTGACATACTGCTCTGAACTATTTTTTTTGTGGGATTGCTTTTAATTCACATCTCAAAATGATGGTACTAAATGTTCTACCTTCTTTGTTTTTGATTTTTTTGTGGTTTTTTTGTTGCTGTTGTTGTTTTTGAGACCGCATCTCCCTGTAGCCACAACTGGCCTGGATTCACTATGGAGACCAGGCTGGCCTCAAACTCACAAAGATCCACCTGCCTCTGCCTCCCAAGTGCTGGGACTAAAGGCGTGCACCACCACACCCGGCATCTTTTTTTCTTTTTTAAAAAATGTTTTAAAATTTCTTTTATGTGTATGAGTGTTTTGCCTTCAGGTCTGTTAGTGTACCATGTGTATGCAGTACCCATGGAGGCCAGAAGAGGGTGTCAGATTATTGTGGAGGTGGAAAGCTTTTGCAGTGTGATGGTAATTAAGAGCTTTGGAACAGGAAGAGCTCTTAGACAAGAGATAAGACTGGGGAGATAATCTGGAGTCTTCCTCCATCCCACCCCCTATGGTTGACCTGGAAGGAAGTCTTTGTAACCCCTGAGGCCATACGTTACCTTGCTTAATTGTACCTTTTACTTAATTGCCACCTATGTGCCATAACAAGATCTCCTAGAACTAGAGTTAGGGGCAGTTGTTACCTGACATGTGGGTGCTGGGAACCAAGCTCAGGCCTTCTGCAAGAGCGGCCAGTGCTCTTAACCGAGCTATTTCTCCAACCCCATGCCCTCTTTTTTTTTTTTCCATTTAAAATTGTAATTTTTCCTACTGTTATTATGCTTATTTGTAAATAAATTTTTGTTTCCAGTGCTAGGAATCAAACCCAGAGCCTCACACATACCAGGAAAATGCTCTACAATAAGCTACAGCCTAACCTAATGTGAATGATTTGTGCATGTGTGTGCTAGGGATTGAATCTTGTGCTTGCTACACAAGTACTCTCCCACTGAGCTGCAGCTACAGCCCATGAATATGATTTTTCCCTTAGGCTTTTTAAATATGTTTTTCAAAGTGTATTTTAAATACTTTCTCATTTTAAAAGTAATTTCAAGCAATAGAGTAGTATAGGGGATAAAAATGGGGTCTGCCGGGCATGGTGGCGCATGCCTTTAGTCCCAGCACTTGGGAGGCAGAGGCAGGCGGATCTCTGTGAGTTCAAGGCCAGCCTGGTCTACATAGTGAGTTAGTGAGTTTCAGGACAGCTGGGGCTACAGGGAGACCCTGTCTCAAAAAAAGACCAAAAAAAAAAAAAAAAAAAGGAGGGGGGGTCTGGCAACGAGGCTCAGCGGGTAAAGAAAGGTACTTGATGCCAGACTTGACAACCTGGGTTTGATTCTCAGTACCCACATGGTGACAAGAGAGACCTGACTCCTGAAGGTTGTCCCATGACCTGTGCACACACACAGTGGGATGCACACTCATGCACACACAAAACTACGTAAATGTAATAAAAAGCAGTTATTTTTAAATGGACTCTTCCATTAGCACTGGTACTCCCTCACACACACTCCCACCTCCCTTTTCTCACTTCCCTCCTCACATGTAACCACTGTTTAGAGTTTGGTTAAATATAAGTTTTTACATGGGGTTTATAATTTTCCATCTGATAGGGAAAAGTTAGACACATTGTTCCCCTATTTGGGGACATTTGGGGTTTTTCCTGAGTTGGCTATCTTTGAAAACATAAATGAGGGAGGGTTTCATTGAAAAGGGAATGCAGAATGGACTATAGATGTGATGACTTGTGTTGCTCAGGTGACTTCAGAGTCTGCAGGATGAGGGCTAAATGAGACATCAGGTTTGGGTATAAACTTCAAGTGTAAGAGATCTGACACATGCTGAGGACACCTGTGTGTACTCTTCCATGCTAAATACTTTTCCTATTTGCTCCCATTTACTGCAGCAAACATCCCAAGATAAGGAACCTTCTCCCCATTTCACAGATGGAAAACCTTGGTTCAGAGCGAACAAGTGCCTGGCTCAGTGTCACACTCCTCCAAGGGTAGAGCTGGGCTCTGAATTGTCAGATACTGAATTGAGGACTTGGGGATGGTGCTACTGAGAATAGGGAGCTCCTATTTTCCTTCACTTAGGCAAAAACCATCATCATACATGTAAACTGCCTTTGGTCCACAAGGAAACCTGGGTATATTCCCAGGATTTGGGCTGTTGGATGATGGTTGTTTTGATGCTGAGGTGGAACCCCCTGCATGCTATGCAGGTGCTTCCACTACAGTTTGTACACGTGATATACAGTGAACATTGGCCTAATGATTTATGTGCTTTGTATCGGTCCCAACAAGAACTGCTTTGAGAGCATGAGAAATTTGAGGCCCAGAGGTGAAGAAACTTGCCCAACAGAGCTGGCCAAGGAGGGACTTAAACCCAATTCTTTGTGACACTAGGACCCTCAAGAGGCAGCCAGAGAATCTCCCTCAGACCAGACTGCCCAGCTAGGCCTCATTCTGCTTGCTCCCTCCTCCCAGATAACAGCGACTTGATTGCCTGCACAGTGATCACCAAGGACGGCGGCATGGTCCAACGTTTCCTGGCTGTGGATATTTACCAGATGAGCCTGGTGGAGCCCGATGTGTCTCGACTTGGCTGGGGAGTGGTCAAGTTTGCAGGCCTTCTGCAGGTGAGATTCTAAGAACCCATCTCTTCTCAGCCAGCTCTACACATGCATGTGCCAAATTAGCTTTACAGGTACTTCTGATGACACAAGGAGCATGTGCACAAAAGTCAGAGCACTGCACAGATAAGGGTCAGTTACATCTGACCAAAACCCTCGAGCCTTCCTCTGTCCCCTGCAGGAGATAGCCTCCATTGTCTGGCTGATCTTTCCAGATCTGTTTCACTGCCAAGTACATGTACCTACATGTACTATTTTTTTAATTGTGTATCCAGCCAAGTGTCAGGTGGGGAGATGGGGGAACACATAGTGGTTCATATCTGTAATCTCAGCACTCAGGCAAAAGTTGGAATAGTCACCACAAATCCAAGGACAGCCTGTCCAATTTTGTAGGTTCCAGGTCACGGAGTAGGTAGCAAGACCTTGTCTCATAATGGGGTGGGGGGGAGCAGGTACTGGGGTTTTGGCTCAGTTGGTAAAGCTTTCCTAGCCTGCATGGGCACTGGTTTCCATCTCCAGCACCACAGTGTGATAGTGCACCACCAGGTGTGATAGTGCACACCTGTAGTCCCGGCACTTAAGAGGTAGAGACAGGAGAATCAGAAGTTCAAGGTTCATGTCTACATAGCAACTTTGAAGCCAGCCTGGGCTACATGAGAGTCTACTAAAAAAACAAAAACTGAGAAACTTTAGAAAGAAGCATGTCTGTCCTAAACATATACAAACTGCTTTCTTATCATTGTTCCCTAAACAACTGTCTACCTAGTGTATATCCTATATGAAGTCTTGTAAGTCCTCTAGAGATGATTTAGAGTCTTCAGGAAGATGTAGGAAGGTTATATGTAAATACCATGTCATTTTATATAAGAGCAGCTTGGCATTCCTGGAGAGTGGGAATGGGGGGGGTCCTAGAATAATATTCCTTGGATGCTAAGGGATGGTGGTATTTGAGCATGTGGGTAGATTTTTATGCCATCACTTTGGCCATATACTGGACCTTGCTTTTCTCTTAGAGCATTTTGGAGTGTATCTAGCCATGTTAGCAAATGCACACCTGCTGGTTACCCCAGGGCATGCTCCCTGGCCAAGTTGATTGTCCCCAACTTCCTAGGCATACTGCTGCAAGCCCAGAGCTCGGTTTCCATGTGCCCTAGACAGGATTTCCCTAGGCAGATAACCAAGAAGTTGGCATGTGTCTATTTTAAGAGTCCATAGAACCTGCCCACTTCCTCTCACATCACTGTTACCACCAGGAGTTCCTGAGAATTCCCTCCTCACTCCCTCTGAAGCTAAGTGAGGCTTAGCTACACATCAAGTTGGAACTTGGGATTTTTCAGCATTTGTCAATACAATGGGTGACTAATGCTGAGCTGCAGAGCTAATGAAACAAAGAACTTGCAGCGCTGAGAGGAGCCTGCCACATCCCATTCCTCCTGTGCTCCGTCCCTGAATTCCCAGTGAACCTGTCCCAGCCTGAGAGTCAGAGAATCCATTTCCTTGGTGCAGTTCTTGTTCCTGGAAAGACCTCACCCCTGCCAACTCCACTCCTCCTTACCACAGCACTGACCAGCCAGCTGGATCCCACTCTTCACAGTAACCACCCTATATGCGAAGTTACTACCATTGCCTCTTTTTCCCAGGCTCCTCTTTCAGGATCTTCCTGTTCTTTTTTTAAAAAGTCTTTCAGTGAAGCAGAAAGAGAGAACTATAGAAGAATCTTTTTTTTCCAAAAAGATTCCTATGTAAAGCATTGTCCACTAGATGACTTGCACATCTTGTTTATCTAGGCTTATATCAATTTCCTTTAGAATTTAGTGTCAGGAAAGTGTTTTTCTCCCCCAAAGGATTAATGTGTGTCCTCCATCAGACAATGAAAGCCACATAAACCTTTTTTTTTCCCCCCTTTTTGGTCGTCTTCCAATAGCTACTATTTGTCAGGTCGTTACTCTGCATCCAGAGCTCCCTGCTTTAAATGCATAATAGCTTCATCTGATCCTCACTCTCACCCTTTGAGGCAGGCATTCTTTCCAAAGAGGAGCCAAATGCAGTGGCTCTCTTCCTTCTGGGCCTTTTGCAGTGGTTCCCACCTCCTCTAGCATGGCTGACCTTTGGGTCCATCTCCTGTCTCATGTGCTTTTATCTCATGTGCCCTTGAACCTTTGTGGGCAACAAAATCCATCCTGAGGCTTTATGTGGGACTGATCCTTATTACACTTGCCGCTTGTCAGTGTCTTTTTACATGCAGCTTGCTAAAGTCTCTGCCAAATGGCCCTGGTGGCCCTCTCTTGGGATATACCAACGATTTACCAAACAACACTAACAACGCTCATTCTTAAGAGAAGCAAGGAGATAAGCAGCTGTGCTTCAGATGACACCAGGTAGCAATGGAGATTTGGAGTTGTGACCTCTGGTTTCCCTAAAGTAAGAATTATTACAGTTTGCCTGTTGTGACAGTGGTGGCTGTTAAAGAGGCTGGTGTGCCCCTTTATTCCCTAGGCATCCCAAGTCCTCATGAAAACAGGTACCAGCCATCACATCCAACACTGACTTTTTCCCACCTCTTAGGCTGATCTGCATTCACCCTTGACTTTGTAAGATTTGGTCTCCTTCAGAGCAAAAGCAGAATCAAAGTGATGGTATCTTTCTCCACGGATACCCTCTCCCAATGACAGACATCTTGCCTTTGCTTCCTTGCTGTGCAGGACATGCAGGTAACAGGTGTGGAAGACGACAGCCGTGCCCTGAACATCATCATCCACAAACCTGCCTCTAGCCCACATTCCAAGCCCTTCCCCATCCTGCAGGCCACCTTCGTGTTCTCCGATCACATCCGCTGCATCATCGCCAAACAGCGCCTGGCCAAGGGCCGCATCCAGGCCAGGCGCATGAAGATGCAGAGAATAGCTGGTGAGTGGCCACAAGAGTGGGAACATACAGCCACAGAGCTGTCACTCCCTGCTCACACTCACCTGGAAAAGTCCAGGGGTTCCTATAGATAAGGATATGGCTGGGTCAGGACTTGCTATGCTTCAGGAATGGTGGGACTTCCCTGCTTCCCAAGTGTTTAGAGAAAACTTACAGGGCTTCAAGGAAGGGAAGGGACCCTCCCTAACAGACAAGAGGCTGGGAACACCTGTTCTCACTCTTCACACTGAAATTCCCAAGCTTATAGTCACAAAGTGCTGCAATCTCTGCCATCCTGGTTACCCCAAACAGCCCTTAAGTTGGTAGGATCTTTGCTACCCTCCTTATAGCAGGGGAAACTAAGGCTGTGACCTGCTGACCACACAGAAAACAAGTTGGCAGGACATCCTACTCTAGATCAGGTTTTGTTGTAGTTGCAGTGCTGGGGATGGAACCCAGGGCCTCACACATGCTAGGCAACTGCTCTGCCACTAAACTACCCCAACCTAGCAGAATTTCCCTCACCCTTTCTTCCTTTCCCTTCCCAGCTCTTGGGACAGGCACCTGCAAGAGGGGAGGTTGGGAGAGGCAGCACCGAATACTAAATCCAGAAGTCATTTCGTGCTTCACAAGGAGCAGGATGGTGTACTGCAGGGGCTTTCTTCATAAAGGCCTAAAAGATGTTCCTCCATCTGGCAAAGTGGAAGCCAAGGCCTTATCTTGGCGCAGGGTAGGGGAGGGCAGATGTGTTGTCTGTCAGCTCCTTAAACCACCAGCCTCCCCTTCAAGACTCCCAGTACTTTCAGCTCAAACTTGAACAGTCCCTCTGTTGTGGCTGCCAAGGGAATGTCTAGCCCACAGTGAGGAGGGACACTTTCTCAAGGAACAACCTGAGACTCAGCCCTAGGAGGGCTGTGTTCTAGGCATGGCAGCTCCACAGTGTGCCACGCACGCCTCTGTGATTTGCAGTGGCTGTGGCCTGAGTAGTCCCCCTTCTTATTTCTCATTTAGATGAAACTTGGCCCATGGAATCATTACAGAAGCATTTTGTAATGTGTAAAGTGACTTAAATCATTCAGCCCTTTCTTTCACGATTTATATTCAGACTTTTTTCCCCTTTAATGTAAAGCAGTTTCTCACAGCTGGCATGAAAGTCAAATATTTCATTTGAAAATTGAGGATTATGCTGTAAAGTGACTGCTAGAACGAACGCTTTGGGTATTTCTTAAATTGATTTTTAAAAGCCCCTCTGAACTGGTCATGAAAGTTGTTTATGAAGGAAAGAGGGTAGCAATGACAGGTAAGCACACTCATAAATAGTTATGCACATCTAGATGCTCCCTCACACATGATCATTTACAGTCAAGATTCAGCCCAACCATGATCATTTATAGTCAAGATTCAGCCACCCAGACACTAAAAATTCTGAAATAGGGCTGGGGAGATGGCTCAGTTGGTAAAGTATTTGCTGCACAAGCATGAGGACCTGAGTTTAGATCCCAGTACCCATGGAAAAGCCAGATGTGGTGGCATAAACCTGTAATCCCAGTCCTGAGGAGGTGGAAACAGAAGTGGCTCTGGTGCTCACTGGCCAGCTAGTTTAGCCTGATTGGTAAGCTTCAGTTGAGTGGAAGACCACACAACAAAAAAATATGTGAAGGGCTGGGCGTAGTGGTGCACGCCTTTAATCCCAGCACTCGGGAGGCAGAGGCAGGTGGATCTCTGTGAGTTCATGGCCAGCCTGTGGAACCACATAGTGAGTTCCAGGACAGCTGAGGCTATAGGGAGACCCTGTCTCAAAAAAAGACAA